AATTACGTGGGGTAGAGCCAACTGAATGGGACCTCTTAGTTGACATTACTTGGTGGTAATATCGCATATAAAAAAAAAAAGAAAGGGAAAAAAAATAAAATAAATAAAACTACGTCTGCGTGTTATTACAATGGATGAACCACCGGCTGAGAACCAGCCAGTTACGTGGCTCAGCCACAACTGGAGAGGGGAGCCGTCAGCTGTTATGGCTATAGAGATTAAGCCTATAGACGCTAAATCACTAAATTCACTGTCTGTAATAGTACACAGTAAATAACAACACTACTCACTGTGGTGTTAGTCCATTGTTGTTGTTTTGATGTCTGCTTAACTAGTTTTTTTTTAAAAAAGTAAAACTGAGCACTTATTCTACTAAAAAATAGTAAAACTGTGGGACACGACGTGAAATGTGGGTATTCAAATCAAGCGCATGCGCAGAACTCAGTTAATAATAAAAAGTAAAAAATTGAAAATAAACATGAAGTAAAAAAATAAAGTACGATCTAATAATTTATATACATATTTACAGTAGTAACTATTTACAATTTTATGATGACTGGATGGATAAGAAATGATTAAACAGTTGGGATTTAAAGGTAGGAAGGGTTTAGGAATGACGGATGTGGGGAGGGATGGAGCTCCATAGGGAAGAGGATCGAATAATAAAAGATTTATCGAAAGCAGCGGTTCGGTGGGCCATTATATATGAATCTGAAGACCGGGAACGGGTATTGCGGGAGTGGACAGAGGAAATAAATTGAAGGAGCTCGGCGATGTATGAAGGACGGCGGGAGTGAATTACTTGGAAGAGGAAGGATGCCAGGAAATACTTACGGCGGTAGGAAGGATAAAGCCACTTCAACTTTTCATAGAAACAGGAAACAGGGGCGTCTCTTGGGATCCCGAAGATGAATCGTACAGAGCAATTTATCAAACGTTTTAGTTTCGCCTCGAGATCCCCAGAGACGCCCCCATATACCGTGCAGCAATAGTCGAAGTGGGGAAATATTAAGGAAGTGACCAGGAGTCTACGGATTTCAAAAAGAAAAAGGTGTCGCAGGCTATTTAAGTGTTTTAGGGTGGAGAAGGTACGTCTGGAGATATTGGACACATGGTTTTTCCAGAAAAGGGTTTGATCGAAGATTATTCCAAGGTTTTTGATGGTGGGATAAAATTTGATGGGATTAACATGTAGGAACAGGGTTGGAAAGTTAAGAACAGTTTTGAGGAGGTGATTGGAGCCTATTGGTCTTTTCCGCATAATAATACGGAATTATTATAGAACATATACCACTTACATATAGAACATTGAATTCATCGTAACATTTGTCAGGTTGTTTTCGGGAAATTATGTCATAAACATAAATTAAAAGGGTTTCAAGGGAAAGACTTTAGCCAAGTTCCGTTTAAATCGTTAAAGCCGTTTTGGCGCTACAAATATGTAAATACATTTACATTTAATTTTTTTTACATATATAAAATTATCAGAAGTGCTATGCCAGAAACCTTCCCAGGAGTGTACGGAACAACTTTTCATTGCGATTGGATGAATGTTTTAGTAATGCATAAAGGACAAACAGACAGACAGACATACATTCATTTGAGTGTGTGTGTGAAAAGAAATTTGTATTTTAACATTTTGCTTCATAGATTTTACCATAAAATGGCAGTGAAAAATTATTAACTGGATAATTGACGTCTATGAATCTAAAACACGACATTTTGCAAACGTTGCCACTAATTCAATTAAAAATAATTTCCAAGGACACAATAGCAATTATACTCAGCTAAAATATTCAGATATTTGGCTAACAAATGAAGATTTTTTTAGTGTATATATTCACGGTTATTTAAATTATTCGTTGTTTTGGAGGATATTGTATAAATAAAAATTATTTGTTTAGTAAATTTCACATTTTAATTAACATAATAATAATAATATAAGGGCTGGTTGTTTTCCTACTTTTTTAAAGATAAAATATTTCTCACCTTGCAGGGGAGGGGGCCTCTTGTCCCCCTCCTCTCTCAGGATCCGCTGGTACGTGTATTTTCCTAACAATCTTATACTTGAAAATTTTTCCAATAATTCTTATCTATGTTTCGATTTGTTTTATCTCTCTTTAATAAAGTCATGACTATAAACTAGAATAGACTCCTCAGTTCCTTAGATTCCTTTCGAGAGATATCGAGAGCAATGAGAGCCAACCCTGCGAGGGTCGCGATGTTATCCTGGATGATCCTTATTAGAAGGATAATGGGGGGGGGAGGACATGGAGTGGCCAATTAGCGGCTAACTCAATTAGTTGCCCCAGTCCTTCGAGGGGGCTTTTCATTCTAACGAGCCGCCTCCACTTCACTCCTTCCTGAAAGAGTTGTCACGGCCTTCTTGCAGTTCCTTCTCGGCTCCGTTCTCACTGAAAATAATTTATAAAAGGCGTCCCATGGTGGTAGTATAAGGGCGAAATATAAATATATCCTTGAAACATAATGGGCCATTGTTCTAAACATTGAACTTCGAGTGAATTACGCATCCGTTTACAGTGTATTATCCTTTGATCATTAATAGTGTTGCCCAAATGCGAGACAGAAACGAGTCTTGGTCTTGTAAACTCAGTCTTAGTCTTGCGCAAGAGTCTCGCAACAGTCTTGCACTTACTTATCAGCTTATTACTATAGAGATATTAAATGAAATGAAAATAGATTTTTATTATCCTGGGACTGTTGTCCCTTTAGGACAAATTATAGATACAGAGGAAATGCCTGTGTGGCCATAAAATTAAATTAAATATTTACAATTCTCATTAAAATTAAAATATTGGAAGAAAAATAAAACAAAAATACAAAATATATACAGATATATATATATATATAATACAAACATATGAAAATAAAATAATACAAGTAAACAAAATCATTTCTGGGAGAACTTAAAAAGTTCTCTTATCTACTTTTCTTGATCGGTCGGGTTGGGAAAGAAGTAGGTGGTTAAAAATGAGAGATTTAAATGAGGAAACTGATTGTGCATGTCGGATACCGGGAGGGATGGTAATCCAGGTGGAGGCGGCTTGAATTATAAAGGATTTTTCAAACGCAGCAGTTCGGTGAGGAGGTGGGTAGAGGTCAGAAGTACGGGGTCTAGTGGGACAGGATTGAATGGAATATTTAAATTGTAGGCTGTGAAAAATATAGGAAGGCCGCTAAGTTCAGATGGCTTGGTATATTACTGTATATTATACAATTGCTTCGGATTGTAAAAGGAATATATTGAAATTTGGATTATTTTACTTTAATGTGACATTTATTTATCTTTCTATAATCATATGTAATTATGCCTTATTAATAAAGATATTTCGTCGCCATTCTTAATTAAAAAAAAAAAAAGGTGTGTACTTTAAATAGAAACGATAGAACTGAAAACACCAAAAAGGTGAGATTACTAATATGATACTTAAGAAGTTATTTTGATTAGTTCAGTTTAGTATCTTTTAGTTTATATACATTAACTTTTAGTATTATTATTATGCTGTTTATTTATTTTTATTTATTTTAAATAGTATGAATGAGATACCCTTTATCACTATTACTATTATCCTTAAATGTGACAGATAGTAATATATCTTAATTTTTTTTTCACGACACTTTACAATATTAGTCATATGTCGTCACTAAACATAAGCTTTTGCCACCTTCTTCTGTCTTGTCAGTTTTCTTCACGCAAGCCCCTTTTCATTATTCCTTCCTTTACGCCCTCATACCAGTTACTCTTCGGGCGACCATTCTTCCGTCTTCTTTCTGGTTTCCAATCCCAAATTCGCTTAGGCCATCGCCCCTCTTATATCCTCATCACATGTCCATACCAATTCAGCCTCATGGTATCAATGGCGTGGGTAATGTTCTCCATTTGTTCTACCCGTTTCCTTATTTCTTAGTTTGGAACTTTTTGGAACACCACGTGATCTTCTCCAATAATCCATTTCTAGGGCCGATAATCTTTTTTATTGGCTTTCTTTAATTGTTCAATATTTGGCTAAATAGAGAGTAACACTTTCTAGGAACTATTTGTAAATCTTTTTTTTTGTTTTTGTTTTTAAGGACTTCACCTTACTCCACAGTACCCAATTATTTTTCCTTCGCTTATACTCTTTTCAATATACATATCCGATGTTCCTATCGTATTCACACTTATATTAATAAAGAATTAAAAAAGAATATGATATATAAATTATAAATAATAGCTCATTATAAAGAGGATCAAATGCTGGATATTTCTCTCGCTAACAGTACACAGATCCGATTTTGAGTTGTTGAGATATTTTAATCCTCATCTTGCATAAAACTTTTTATCATTTGGTTTTCGATACTGTTTTTTTATTTTCCCTACCCAACAAGGTGTCGCGTTAAGATACAATTTTTAATAATAGGATATTACAGATGAGAATTTTAGTTTCTGATATATTTTAATTCGTATGCAAAAACACTTCAATTATTCGACTCCAACCGACTTTACCCGAGCGTTACACATCGAAGAGCTGACAGCTCAATGTAATTCGCTACTCACAAAAGTGAAAACGCTCCTAAAAGAAGTTTTCACTTCAAAAATGCAACTAGCAGTATTGTTGAGAACAGCAAGTCGTGAGAAAATTTATAAATATTAAAAAAAGTTTCAAAATATATAAATGTAATTTTTGGCTGACCTAGTAGGTCCTCAACTACTGCGTGTAATAAACACCATTGTATTTGTAAAATATAAAAAAAATGCAATGTAAGCTATTTATAAGAGAAGACCTGTTTGATGTTTTAATTTGATTGTTTTTGTTCAGTTTTAGATACTGAAGCATCCCCGAAACGTTCAAATATAATTTTTGAGCCCTAATGTGTTTTATTAATTATAGCCTGTAGAGAAAGTTAGAAAACAATTATAAATGAACAAATAAATAATTTGTAAATCACAATAATTTTATATTAATTTCGAAATTCTTCACATTTCACGTGTTTGAAGAAAAACATATGTCGAAACGTTTTAAAAACATTGAGACGAAAATGTCTTTATGCTTGTTACAAAAGATTTATATCAACTAACAAATTGTTATTTCAAAAGGCTTCTTCGAGAGATACGAGCAATATAATATATTTTAAAAGTTTTGTTGAAAATGAGCGTCAATTCCGAAGGATCAGACGAGAAACGGGTGGGACATTATTCCAACCCAGAGCACCCGACGGAAGGCTTCAAGAGGATGTCCTACCTCTTCATCACCGACCAGCTCACCGATGTCACCCTCAAGGCGGGAGACACCTCTCTCAAGGTACACAGGGTCGTCCTGGCCTCCGTGTCGGACTACTTCCTCGCCATGTTCAAGTCCGACCTCATCGAGTCCAAGGCGGAACTGGTCGAGATGAAAGAAGTCGATGGCCACGCTTTGAGCTCTCTCGTATCTTACGCTTACACCGGAAATATAGACGTCAAAGAGGAAACTGTAGAAAGCGTCTTAGCAGCAGCAGTTCTCCTCCGATTCCCGGAAGTCGTGGACGCTTGCACGAACTTCATAATTCAACAACTCGACCCGAGCAATTGCATTGGCATAGCGACGTTTGCCGAATCCAGGAATTGCTGCCAGCTTCGGGACGTCGCTGTCGCCTACACAGAAGAAAATTTTGAATTGGTTGCAGAAAACGAAGAATTTCTTCTGATGCAATTAGAAGATTTTGTCAAACTCATCTCTTCTGATTACATCAATGTGACGTCCGAAGTATCAGTTTTCCAAGCTGTGATAAAGTGGATAGATTACGATATAAAAAACAGATGCGTTCATCTCGAAAGACTTATGGGATTCGTGAAGTTGCCGTTACTACCACCTCAATTCTTAGTGGAGGATGTCGTCCCTAAAATTGGCCAGTGTGGAACTTCAATGGTCATCGATGCTCTATCGTACCATGCTGTACCAGAAAGAAGAACAAAGTTCCCACCAGCAAGAATTACACCAAGGAAATCTACAATCGGAAGCTTATATTTCGTGGCCGGTTGTGAACGTGTAGAAGGATTCCTACATTGCGCCTGTACAGTGAAGGAGTACTCACCACGTCACAACAGATGGCGAATGGTAGCCAAGAAATGTAACCAGCGATTGCAGCTAGGTGTAACCTCTTTGGACCATCGAATCTTCATGATAGGTGGCCGAGATGGTATAAGGACGCTGAACACAGTTGAATACTTAGATCTCAATTGCATGGTCTGGGCAGATATTTCGCCAATGTTGACAGCTAGGCATGCGCTGGGTGCAGCCACTTGGGGATCTGGTGGTCCTATTTACGCGGTGGGAGGAGACGACGGATGGAGCTTCTTGAACACCATAGAACGCTGGGACCCGGGCACGGGCGAGTGGTCCTACGCGAAGCCGATGTCGTCGCCACGATCCTTGTCCGGCGTAGCGTGCCTCCTCAACAGGCTGTACGTCGCCGGCGGGAGGAACGGGATAGCCTGCCTCGACCTTCTGGAGGCCTATGATCCCCTCTCCGGCATATGGCACAGCTGTGCTCCGATGTCGACGAGAAGGGGTGGGATCACAGCAGTGGTATTAGGTGAAAGCCTGTACGTCATTGGTGGGATCGATTTACCTTGCAGTGGAACCCGCTTCTCCAGTGCTGAGAAGTATGATCCAAGAGCTGACAGCTGGATGCCAGTGTCACCAATGTCAGTCTGCAGGGACGGTATCGGCGCTGCCGTTCTCGGGAACAAAATATACGCCGTGGGTGGGTATGACGGGGAATCCTATCTGAAGACGGTGGAAGAATACGATTCTTTCACAGATACATGGAGGCTGATGGCTCCGCTCAACTCAGGAAAAAGTGGTAGCTGCGTTGCCTATAATAAGAAGTAAATAATAAATAATGTAGGAGTAACTGCATTGTATAGATCTACCAGAATAAAAAATAACAAAATGTGATTACCATCTATTATATAAATTATAATAGTGGATTGATAGTTGACTAGTAAATAATTAAAGAGAAGTTGGTTAGGAGGTTGAATAAAAAAATAAATTAATGATGTTTATCGAATTCTCCTCGTATCCAATCCTTACAATCCAAAATCCTTCGTAAAATCCTCCATATTCCTTACTTTGTCGCAAATAAAATCATCTATAAAGACCTTAATGTTCCAAATGTTTCCGATTTGGCCCAATCCAGATACCTATCCTTCCATAACAAACCGCAGAACCATTCGAACTCTCTCGTTTCAAACCTTGCTTCCTCCTCGATCCCTGATAACCCTCCGAGGCGTCTGAAAATGGCCTCGTGATCTACTTATGTAAATATATTATTAGAGTGCTACCAATGGGTAGTTTTTCAACAAGCGTTTTCCTGTGATTATATTATTAAGAAATTTTTTTATGAGAAAAAAAGGTGAACTTTAAAAATATTGAGCGGGTTTGGCGTAACCTAAACCCTCCAAATTTTTAAAATAACGAGGTTGTATAGGCCAAACGGCTCCATATTTTTGAAGGCCACCTTTTTCCTCGAGTTATTCTACGATTAAAGTGGAAAGCAATTGGATATATACGAGTTTTTAGTAGCTAATTAAATAGAAAAAGTTTGCCGACCTCCAGATTGTAAAAAAATCCGAGAATTTTCGTAAATAAAATATTTGTAGGTTACGATGAGATGAAGCTATTTGCGAAGTTTCAGCCGAATGTTAATAATTTGATAAAAAGGGGTCTCTAACACGGATTTTTTTGTTCTGACTGGGATTAGGTTAAGTCGACATAATCAGCTGTTTATTTTAATGATCAGCTGATTGATATGTGCTATTTATAATTTAATATTCAGTCGAATTGTGAGTCGCTTATTTCCAAAGTGAACCCTCATCGATTTTTTTGGAAAAAGTATCGATTTCCATATAAAAATGGTGTGAAAATAAGTTAGATTTCGAAACTGGCTTCTTTTTTTTTCAAGGAATATACGAAATAATGTTTGCATTTGTTTAGTATTCTTTAAAAAAAAAAAAACTTTATTACCTCCGAATCATACACTGTTTTTTAGAACCACTAGCGGATCCAGAATTTAATTTTGGGGGGTTTCAACCCGAAAGTTTTTTTTTTCGTATATATAACGATAATTACTTTGGAAAAAATAGAAAAATACTAACTATCTATATGAAATGGTGTTTAAGTGATAACAATAATACTTGCAGAGATAGTTTTTTAATATTTTTTTCCATCAAACATGGTTACATTTTACCATTTTGGGGGAGGGCTTCAGCCCGAAAGCCTCCCCTCCCCCCGTAGATTCGCCTGTGGATAGAACTAAATTAATGCTGGTTAAAAGTGGGACGAAACAAAAAGCATAGCCAAAGAGGTTAGATGTACAAAGTGCATACGAAATGACCAATTATTCGAAAAAGGTCAGAAAGCTTTGAAAAGTAATCGGTTGTGATGGAATATCCCGGAAATGTTGCGATAACGGATCTATAACTGAGTCCCAATCCCAACGGCTCTCGTTTATCCCGACCATCACTTCCACTCATTTAAATATCACTGGAATTTAAATCAAAGGGCATTAAATCTACTTCCAATCCACGACATTTCACTGACAAATTATCTAATTCCCTTTAATTGCATCAATTGTCCATTCTCCTGAAAAGGAAATTTTCCTTTTAACTTCCAAAAACATTTAGTGTGCTTCTTTCCAAATTGTATATTAATAATGAAATGATTTATATTTTTTGTATAAATATGGTGTGATAATGCTCTCTGATCTCTATTATAAATGTATTTTACTGAGAGAGAAAGTAATATTTCTCAATAAATTAGTTTTAAAAAAAAACGCTGCAAATTATTCCACAATAAATGGTGATTCCAATTATTGGACTAAACTTTTTTTTTATCATTAGTAATATGCTAAAAAAAATAGCATTACTTCAGTAACACATTCAAAATTTAAAAACCAAACACAGGATATAACATTTGGAGTAGAACATAATAAAAAAAAAACCGGAGACCATATCGTTGCTCCTGATTGTCCGATTTTAACGATTTTTTTTTCATTTTTAGGAAATTTCGTAAACTTTAAAAAAACCATCCCCAAAAAAGTGTATACTTTTTGAGTTATTCGGAATTAAATTTTACCATCCATCGTAACTTTTTTTTCAGCTTCTTTTCGTTGAAGTATGTTATATAGATAAATTTAAAGGGCGTAGAGAAAATGACTTTAGCGAAGTTTCATTGAAATCGCTACATTCGTTTAGGCGCTACAGTCTATAGCAAAGCAGGTTTTTCGGCCGCCATTTTGAAAGTAAAAAGCGGATAATAATGTCGATCAAGGAGGATCATCCTCGGGTGACCTCTAATTTTATATCAAAATTAGAAAAAATCGGTCCAGTAGTTTCAGAAAAAATGCGCGGACGGCGGACGGTCAAAAAAATTTGTATTCGTTTTTCTATTTCTACTCATCCTGAAACGTGAAAACTCAAATTTTGAGAGTGGGTTAAGTTTTTGAATTTTTTGGTCAATCACAATGGTTGATTATTGAAAATAATAAACCAATACGCTGTGGGCTTGAGCTCACACGATAGAAGTGAAATCATCAAAGCGAAACGTAATTTTTTTTTGTTCTCTATTTACATTTATATATATACAATTATAATTGTGTATAAATTACCCTGTTCAATCGCCATTTGTATCATACTCTAAAAATTATACAATAGGTTTAATGATAACTAAAATATGTGATAAATACTTTTAATTGGAATTTATAGGTACTTAGTTTCTTTCTTTCTTCCGAAGTAATTATCGCAATATATACATAAAAACAAAAAATCTTTCAGGCTGAAGCCCCCCAAATTAAGTTCTGGATCTGTTAGTGCTACAGGGTACTACTATTATTGGATATCCCTACTACAACACAAATTAAAATAATTTACTGCATCAAGGAAGGAGATGGTCCGGGGTTGCGGTAATAAATAGGCTAAATAGTGGTAAACCTATTTTATTGAAAGCTGACGTTTCGACCCGACAGGTCTTCTTTAGAGCTAGAACTGATACAAAAATATAGAGAATTGTGGCAGTTACATAATATTTAGACAAAATTTATAAACAATGTGAATAAGCTTATTAAAATTATAAACAGTAATTACATTAAAATATAAACAAACTTAGCTAAGTACCAAGATCCAAAACTGAAATAAATCTGTAGAAGTATATTTACATTTGCATTTATTATATATTACACTACAACGATTGTTAGCGTCTATTTACTTCAGTTTAGGATCTTGTTACTTAGCTTACTCTGTTTATATTTTAATGTACTAACTGTTTATAATTTTAATAATCTTATTCACATTGTTTGTAAATTTTGTCTAAATATTATGTAACTGCCACAATTCTCTATCTTTTTGTATCTTGTCCGTTCTACCCCTGAAGAAGACCTGCAAAGTCGGGTCGAAACGTCGGCTTTCAATAAAATAGTTTTACCAGTATTTAGCCTATTTATTACCACAACCCTGGACCACCTCCTTCCTTGATAATGCAACGGTCAACTATTAAATATTCAATATCACTTTACTACAAAGTAAATAGAGCCACATAAATGATTATTTCAGTTGACGGAATGAATAACTTCAATTTTAACATTTTTGATTATTTATTTTGGAGATATTTATAGCGGGAAAATCTATACCTTTATTCACAGTTCTATATTTCAACACTGTAATAATCTATTCTAGAATCAACTTACTCAATCTCTGTACAGATATTGTAAATTTCCCAACTACATATATCACTCAAAAAACTGAAAGGCTCTGAATGTCTCTGATCATCTTCGATACAAAATAAAGTTCGATATAATGTTATTTATTCAATCTTGAAACAAATCGGCACATCTCCATAAAACAGCTTCATGACGAACTTTACAATACAACTATAGTATAATTAATGCTCATGAAATACGGAAATAATATTTCTGACTTCATTGCCCAATTTTTGATATATTGTCTATTAATGGAGGTAGAAATGAACAGGTCCATATAATTCTCAAAGTTTCATTTTCTAAAGAAATTCATCGGTAATTGTTTTTATCGTAGTGAAATATACTCGAACGCTATCATACTGAAACAGGACATCAGACCTAAACGTTTGGTGATATCTGTCTTCCATGTTTTCTTTATAAACAGGAGGTCACTTTTCCAATCGAGTCGATAGCCATGTTATGAAAGACAACAGCATCCTAGCTCTTATATTTAATGTCGGAGAGTCGGTATAAAACCATCACACCGAAGTGATATTTTCATTGAAAGGAAAATAATAACTTAAGCGATCATCTAATTGTTTCTCATTCAACATACTTTCTTTTCAATTTTTTTTTTTTTTGCTACGTTTATGAATTATTTGTCTACTATTCTACTACGCTATCGTAGTAGCCGAAGTTCTGCTAAAATCTCCAATATTAAAATAATTAAATATTTTCAAGGTGAAATCAATATCGCAAATAAAATAATACATAAAGGACTTAAACATCCCAACAGCTTTAGACAATGCCAAGGAAAATTACAACTTTCGCCAAAAAATTACCTAAAACATAAATACATTTACAGAAATTCTTAAATGTACAAGAAGTGTTTCCACGCGCTCTGAGACAAATCCTCGTACTTTGAGCCTCGTACATCGTACGCTTGCGCATTGGTAATTCGTTCAATTGTAGGCACAGTGTTATTGTTTTTTTATAGTGAAATTAAATCATAGGTTTTGATTTTCACCTGTATTCATATATTTTAAAGCCTATTTATTTATTTTTTTTTATAAGTTAATGGGTCAAGAAGTAAAATTAGTTTCGTAAAATACATAAAAGTTTATATATTTTTAGAAACTTTATATAAAATTGAAATAGCAAAACAAACTTCTTAAAGAATACAATTCTACTATTCTACTACGCTATCGTAGTAGCC